CCCCAAAACCCCAAAACCCCAAAACCCCTTTAGATAGAATTAGTGGTTATTGGGATAAAAAATATTACTCGAAACTAATACTTATTTAGAAAATATTTATTGCTAGCTTTTAGAACTCTGACAGTGCATGTCAATTTAGCTTAAGCTTTGGAAGTCTCTTGAACCCAGTTGTCATTATCAGAGTAGCAATTAAGCATAAGTCTCCGCATATGTGCTTATATGCTCTTTACTTATCGACCTCTGTGGTGTTTTTATAGTTTGGATTATGAACTACAAACAAATGAACAGATGTTAACAGTATCAACATCCATGCAAACTGTCTTTTGCCAATCAGAACTAGCATGGCGCTTAAACCTTGAATAATTGCATAAACTTAAATGATCATGAATGAATTGGAGGAGACAATCTCACTTTTAATTGGCAATTGGAAGCCATTGAAGTTTCTACTTAAGTATTCTTGCAAATGCTGATACTTTGATCTTAGCATATCTGCCTCTGATGATAGATTGTAGTATTTATAGTAAGAGTCAAAGATAAACGAGCTCATAATAAGCAGGTACATCACATTCTAGATCATTCGCTTTGCTGGACTTCCCATTTTAAATTTTAAATTTGATTCTTTAATTATAAAACTCTTTAATTTATATAACTTCTGATTTTAATTATACTTAAATGGATAAGATTAAAGAAAAACTCTTAGAAAATCAGAAGACTATAGCAGCTTTATTTGGAGTAGCAATTTCATTTTCAGCTTATTAATACGTTAAATTCAACCAATTGAATAAAAAGAAGTAATCGGTCAAAGAACTCGGTATAAAGGCATTATAGGACAGAAATAATAAAGAATTTCTTTTTGAAAAAGTAGAATAAGAGGAATTAATACTGTCCCTCAATTCTATTTAAGAGATTAGAGATCATTTGAATAAATTATCTTTTACTAGTGTAGATTTAGTAAATGTCTATGGTAATAGATGCTACACTATTGGGAGACAATTAAATTTAATTACAGAGGAAAATTATCAAGAAGCTCTTTAAGTGGCTAATGAAATGGATGGCAAAAGATAGTAGTATATTTCAGAGGAAAGGTAAAATGATTTGCCACCGCTATTCGGCATACCTATTTCAGTCAAAGATTTAGTAAGCTATTAACATGAAATTGAACCAATTTAGCTGGAAGAGAGAGGTAAAATGGTAACAATAGGGTGTGCTCATTTATGCTAGCATAAATTTGAAAATGACTGTGCAACTATTAGACTATATAGAGAAGCCGGAGCTATTTTTCTTGTGAGAGGAAACGTATCATAGGTAAGAATGAAAATGTAAATTCTATCATAGTGTGTATTGACAGTGCATTCAGAAAATCCAGTATGGGGTACATCTAAGAATCCAAAAAATTAATTAAGATCATGTGGTGGAAGTTCTGGAGGTGATGCAGCACTAGTTGCCTCAAAATGTATTCCTTTTGCAATAGGTTCTGATCTTGGAGGTTCAATTAGAATTCCAGCTACATTTAATGGAATCTGTGGATTTAAGCCGACTCCTGGACGAGTTAGTATTAAGGGTTGTAGAGCTGTGTTACCTAATGGTGATTCCCCATTCAAAGATATAGATGCATCACCAGGTCCTTTAGCTAATTCTGTTGATGATTTAGTAATTGGATTTAAGATTTAAATAAATGATAAAATAAGCGAAATTGATCACAGAGTAGAGAAGAGTAACTTTGATAACGAATCATTTTAGTAGGCTTAGTAAAATAAAATTAAAATAGGCATAGTAAAATCATTCGAAACAGTACCAGTGAGTAAAGCAATGATTAGAGTGATGACTGAAACTGAGGATATGCTGATTAAATTGGGATACGAAGTTATTACAACTGAGATTAGTTATGAAGAATTAATGAATGTAAGAAGAGTGTTCCTAGGATTAATTCTAGGTCATTTTATGGCACCAAGTATCAAAGAAATGTTTGACTAATTTGATGAGCCATTAGAAAGTTACAAATTCCTTTATAACTATTACTATAAGTCAAATAAGGAACGTGAATAGTTCAAATAAAGTATGAGTGAAAGAGAAAGAGATAGAATGAAGGCTTTAGAATCTGTTTCTATGAAAGAGCTGTTCATTTTATTAATAGAAATGAGAAAGTTATGTGAAGATTTAATGATAATGATATTCAAAGAGAAAGATATTGATGTAATTATTTGCCCTAATTATCATCACTCTGCTTTTACGATTAAAAATGCAGATATACTTGGAGGTCTACTAGATTACTAACATATTTGGAGTTTATTATAACTCCCATGCGGAAGTTTGACAGTTTCTACTGTTAATTAAGAAGATTTATTAAGATAAATTTATGAAGATAAATATAATGATGAATTAACTAGGCTTATTAAGGAGGACATTGTGAATAGTCAAGGATTGCCTCTAGGAATATAATTGATTGGGCAGAGATTTCAGGATGAAAAAGTATTAGGCCTGATGAAAGTAATAGAAAAATAATTAAAAATATGATTGATGATTAATTGAAATATGCTTTTTCTATTTAATACGATGTAAGATAGCTGGGGTTTTGGGGTTTTGGGG